GCCACCCTCCCCCCCCCGCGCCCTCCCCTTGCCGCGCTTGGGGGTTGGGGGCGGCTGGAGGCTTTTTTGCCTGGGGCAGCAAAAAAGCCAGAGCCGGCCCTGTCCAGAGGGCTCTGACCTTGGTCCCCAGCTCTTCTCTTTCTACAGCTTATCTCTGGGGAATCTCATCCACAAACACAAATTGAGCTATAATCTCTATGCTGACATCTCGCAGATCTACTGTATTTCAGACCTGTCTCCTTCTGTCCGGACTAAAATCTCTGGCTGTCTCGCTGACATTCCGCATGGCTGTCAAGCTGTCACCTCAAGCTCAACATGGCTAACACAGAGCTCTTAATTACCTCCCTCCGACCCCCGCTCGAAAGCCCTGCCTGCTGCCTTTCTCAATCTCTGGAGACACCACCACCATCCTACCCATCACTCAGGCTCGTAACCTGGGTGTCATCTTTGACTTGGATGTGTCTCTAAGGTCATGACATCCAGGTTATGTCTAAATCTTGATGATTCTTTTAGAATCATAGAAATGTAGGGCTGGTAGGGATCTTGAGAAGTCACCAAGGCCACCCACCTGTGCTGAGGCAGGACCAAGAAAACCTAGACCATCCCTGACAGGTATCTGTCTAACTTGATTTTAAAAACCTCCAATGATGGAGATTCCACAACCTCCCTTAATTCCCTACTCCAGTGCTTAACAATCCTTATGGTTTGAAAGTTTTTCCTAACATCTAATCTGTCTCCCTTGCTGCAGACAAAGCAGATTACTTCTTGTCTTACCTTCAGTGGACATGGAGAATCCTTAAACACTGTCCTCTTTATAACAATTCTTAACATATCTGAAGATTTATCAGGTCTCCCCTCAGTTTTCTTTTCTCAAGACTAAACAAACCCAGTTTTTTAAACCTTTTGTCATAGGTCAAGTTATCAAGGCTTTTTTCATCATTTTTGCTGCTCTCTTCTGGATTCTTTCCAATTTATCCACATCTTTCTTAAAGTGTGGCAGCCAAAACAGTACCCAGTATTACAGCTGAGACCTCGCCAGTGTCAAGCAGAACAATTATCTTGCACATCTTACGTATGACACTCCTGTTAATGCACCCCGGAATGACATTAGCCTTTTTTGCAACTGCATCATATTGTTGCTTCGTATTCAATTTGTGATCCATTATAACCCCCAGATCCCTTTTTGCAGTACTACTGCCTTGCCTTGCCAATTGCTCCCCATGTTGTAGTTGTGCATTTTATTTTTCATTCCTAAGTGTAGCAATTTTAGTGTGACCAGTCAGCAAATGTGAAAAATCGGGAGGGGCGTGGCGGGTAATAGGAATCTATATAAGAAAAAGACCCAAAAGTCGGGACTGTCCCTATAAAATCGGGACATCTGGTCACCTTAAGCAATTTGTATTTGTTTTTCTTGAATGTACTTGTTGAAGTCACACGAATTCTCCAATTTATCAAGGTCATTTTGAATTCTAATCCTGCCCTCCAAAGTGCTTGTGAACCCCCCCTGACTTGGTGTCATTTTATAAGCCCACTTTCCACTCCATTATCCAAGTCACTAATGAAAATATTGAACAGTACCAGACCCAAGACAGCCCCCCATGGAACCCCACTAGATACATCCTCCCAGTTTGACAGTGAACTATTGATAACTACTCTTGTCAAGGCTGAATCCCAACTCTGTCACTCCGAGTGCAGAAGTGGGGCCCGCAAGGATTTTAAAAATTAATACTGGCCACTCCAGGCTTGTATTAAACTCCCAAGGTTGCAGCTTTTCTCTGACCTTGGCTTGGTAAACGCTGCCACCACCCAAATGCAAAAAAACCCCTTGGACCTAGGAAGGAGCACTTGGGAATTCCTCCCTGTGGAGTACCCTCAAGCCCTTTCACCCGCCCGGGGAAGAGCTGAAAAAGAAAACAAAGGAAAATTAGCTGTGGCTACCAACTAATCAAACTACATGCACAAACCTCTTAGGGCACCAAAAATCCAATCCCATTCTTAAAAAAAGTAAATTGTATTAAAAACAAAACAAACAAAAAAAGAAAATTCATCTGGAACTTAGACTTTTGCTACATTTTAAAGAGCAATTCCAAAAATCAAGCACCCAAAATAGCTTGCTTGGGGGTTCAGCTTAAAGGTTACAAGCAAACAAACGCATCTGGGGTTAGCACAGAGGAGTCCACAAGCCAATAGGAAATAAAAGAAATAACCCTAATTGCGTCTAGCTAAACATTCTGATCTACTTACACATGTGGAGTTCAGATAAGTAGTTCTAGGCATGATCTGATGATTTATGATCACACCTGGCTTACGCTGCTTATAGCATGTCTGCTCTGTCCCTACAGCCCAGAGAGAACAGACAAAGGCAAAATTTATTTCCCAATTTTAAAAAGTTCTAGCCTTCCTATTGGCTCTTTTGGTCAGGTGCCTACTTTGGTTTTTCTTTACCTGGGGACTTTTTAACCCTTTACAGGTAAAGCAAGTAAAGAACAGCTACCAAGAGGGATTTTACAGCTAACGGGCTGGCTGGGTGTCCATCAAAGGGAGCTATCCCCCGCTTTATTTATCACAACTCTTTGAGTTAGTTTCTTCAATGAGTTGTGCAATGAGTGATAGTAGTTTAATCTAGAACACATTTCTCTAGTTTGCTTATGAGAATGTTACATAGGACTATGTAAAAAACTTTACTAAAATCAAGATATATCATGTCTATTGCTTCCCCCTATTGCTTTGACCTTGTCAAAGAAGGAAATTAAATTTGTTTGGCATTATTTATTCTTGACAAATCCATGTTGGCATTAATTTATAACCCTATTATTCTCTGGGTGCTTACAAACTGATTGTTTAATGATTTGTGTCAGTATCTTTACAGGTATCAAAGTTAGCTGATTGGTTTATAACTCCCTGGATCCGCTTTGTTCCCCCTTTTAAATAGAAGTACTACATTTGCCCTTCGCCAGTCTTCTGGGACTTCACCCATCCACCATGAGTTCTTGAAGATGATTGCTAATGGTTCCAAAACTGCTTCAGCTAGTTCACCCTTGGGTGAATTTTGTCAGGCAATACTGACTTGAGTATATCTCACATCTAACTATTTAACCAGTTCTTTCCTCCTTGCGGTTAATACTGTGTTAAGCATCTGGTCATAATTAACTTTCTTAGTGAAGACTGAAGCAAAATAGGCATTAAGCA